CAACACCCACACACCCCCTGCCCCTCCCAAGTCTCAACACCCACACTCCACCTGGCCCCCGCAAGTCCCAATGCTACCTGGCTGCCAAACATCCAACGCTGCATGGCAAATACCAGCCATAGGCAGCCAAAGAGAATCTACTGCGAGCCAGGAGCGTTTTGTAGGTCTTTCGATTATATCGATTGAAAACGACCTGTGTAAAGAAATGGACTTTACTGACCTAATTGAAGAATGCGCTGCCAAAAGAGCTAGACAGCTCTAGTAGACTTAAATACAAATTAAAATGTTTAATTGTTAGAGCAGAATTGTGTTTACTTAAAATAAAAATTATCCAACTAAATTAAGTTTCTATCAAATTTACCCAATTCACATTTAATATGAAAAATAGCCTTCGATTTGCACATTTGATGCCTTTTTTCTATTTTCTCTCCAAAGGGGGGCCCCACAAAATTGTGCTGCCCTGGGCCCCGCAAAACTCTCATTCGCCCCTGGTGTACAGTTATAAGTGACATAGAAAAATGTCATTTGAAAGGGAGGGCTTGGGTCACATGGCAACGGATAAGCAAGCACAGAGAATGTGGGTAGCCAGATGTGCTGATAAGCACGAGATGGACGAAGGTCTGAGGGCAACTGTTCACAACCTGCAGGAAGCTACTGAATGACCACACCTCACAGGGTTACTAGCTCCTTTGGCAACAAAGCCTTTTGTGGTGCAGCCGCTGCCAGAAGTTGTTAGTTCTGTGCTGATAAAATCATCATCAGGGCAGACGTCAGTAGGATGCCACCGATGTGGCCTTATGCAGCTGTATGGTCAGAATGTTTTGCCCCTGTGCCTCATTGTCTGCCAGCTGACAGGGGAAATTGTTGTATTTTCTGTCTCCAGAGTGGAAGAGATTGATTGGGCCAACTGGGAAAAGGAGCTGGGAGTTATCAAGGAGGACCCTGGGAACTCCAGAGACAGGAAAACAGAAGCCCAAGGTAAGACATCCCAGGGCCGAGCAAAGATTTTCAGGCAAATGATTTGAGCATTTTGCCTAGTCTCTCTTTGGTGGACTCTGTGTGCCAGAAAATCCAGCTGTGTTTGTCGTCCTCCCCGATCACACAGAGAAACAGCTGTCAATAAAGCGTCCTGCAGCCACGCCACCTTCGTTTGTGATCTGGTCAGCTCGACAATCAAGTAGGTTGGAGGCTGTTCAGTCCTTGAATGGGAGACACTGGCAGAAAAATAACGTTCTGCGGTAAATGCTGCAGAGGATTCAGCAAAGTGCCTTCAGGTCCAAACTAAACCACTGGCCCAGGAGAGGAGTTCCCTTTGCAGGAAATGTAAAATTCAGGTTCCAGACCGACTGTGGTTGTTAAAGGTCTTGGGACACACTCAGCATGAGTCAGGGTGTTCAACGCGGCATCACGGCCACATTTGAATCACTTTGTAGTTGCCTGAACATCCTTTCCACTTTCAAGTGGATTCAGTCTTCCCTCTCTCCTCCTGCCCTAAGCCGCGGGACAGCCTGTGCTTGGTGAAGCAACCCTATGCTGAAAGCAGCGATTTGTTCCTTTCAGTGAAAATGTATCATTTGCCTCCTCCTCCAAATCTTGCGTAGCTGCCCCATCAGGATTAAGCTGACCCTTTCACTTCCCAGCTTTGGTCGGTCTCCAGCTGCCGGCCTCGTGGCAGTGGGATGGAGGAGGCTTATAACATTTAAAAAATGCCTAAATAGAAACATGTGGTAGTACACACAAACCTATGGAGGAACATTTTAACCTGACTGGGCACTCAATCATGGATTTAAAGGTAGCCATTCTTATACAAAGGAATTTCACCTTTGTCGTGAATTACAGAGAGAGAGTGGGGAATTGACATGTAGCTGCAAATTTGACTCTGTTTCTCTGGGCTTGAACAAAGACATTAACTGGATGTCGCATTATAAAGCCAGTCTTCCCTGCCTTTTGTTGAAGCAAAAACACGCTCCTCTGTGTTTAGGCAGCTAACAAACAGCTTTATTAATTAATAAAGCACAGCATGAGCCAAACGTGGTCACAGCAGAGCCGGGCCCAGTAAGGCTACTAATACAATCAATCCTAGTATCTTTATACCCTTAGCTAAACAGTCTGACGTCAGGGCATCTAATTACAGAAATCCTCAATTAAATTTGGAAACACAAAGCCTTATCAACAAGATGGCGGACAGGTGCGAGGGAGTACATCTCCTGTCCCAACCAGCCCAATTAACACATACCAATAGCCCATCCTGTAGGCCTCTTCTCACGGGGTGACAGAAAGTTCACTCTGGTCTACGTGCTTGAGAGAAAAGCTGAAATGGTTTCTGATATACAAGATGGCTTCTAGCTAAATATGAAAATGGTTTCTACACTTTAAACACCTCATTTTTACACCAAAAACTAAGCATGGGGCACTTCCAGCCCACTGAATTAGTTTCATTAGTCCTACAACTGATGGGTACAGTTCTTTTTTCTGTTATAAAATACTTAGTTTCAGTTATTCCTCTCCAGCTCATCATCCGATCAAGTGGGCTTTGGCCATGACAGCTCCTGATACTGTCTATATTTTTGTTAGTCTCTAAGGTGCCCCAGAACTACCCATCGTTCTCCAATATTAAATGTTTCTGTTTTCTGTAAGCCCACCAGAGCCCTGAGACTGGCTGACTACCTTCCTTGCCTTTGTCATCTCCCTGCTAACAAAGGGCCTTGTTACATGTCTCTTGTTACAGAGAAGAAAGCATGGCCCTGGATGTCACGGGCGCAAGCAAGCCCAGCAACGTCGGAGGAGCAGTTGCCGTTGCAACCCATCAGCCAGTGATGGAGATGAGGCCACCAGACAAGGTCAAGCCAAGAGACCGTAGCATGTTCTCAGCACTGGGATCCGGTTCTTGCTCCCAACGGCAGGGGAATTCTCCATTCTGTGGTGTTGCTCATATTGAGATGAAAAAACAATCAGTATTCATGAGTCTCGTCGAAGACTGGTTCAGGCTGGGGCTTTTGTGCATATGAAGTATTTCCTTTGAAGAAATCATTTCTGTTCAACTTCTTCTGCCTAATTCTTTTCCCCTGCAGTGCTTAAAAAGGAGGCTATATGTGAGAGAGAGATTGGGGTTGTAGCTCCTGGATAGGATGTGTTTCTTATCTAAGCATCCGCTTTGAAATTTCTCCTGGGAAGCCGGCATTAAAATTTCAGTTGACTCAATTTAGCCCTGCATGTTTGTGAGACAGAAACATGTAGTTCTGTGTGGTGCAATGCATGTAGGTCAGGGGTGGGCAATACTTTTTTGCTGGGGGCCACTTCAGAAATGTTTGAAGTGGCCCCTAAATGTACCGGAAAGGGCGGGGCCTCAAGTGTAAGGGGCGGGGCCAGGATACTTCCCTGCTTCCCCATCCACAGACCATGATTGGTCTGGGGGTGGTGGAGCGCCTTTGCCCCCTGCCCCAGAGGTTCCTGCTCCTGGTGATGGGAGGAGACTTCCATACTCCCCCTACTGTCCCCAGGCCAATCAGGGCTTTGGGGGCGGGAGAGCACGTGAAGCCTCCTCTCTCTCTGCCAGGAGTGTGTGGTGAGCACCACACTCCTCATAGGGCGGGGGCAGGGTGGAGGAAACTTCTCCCGCTTCTCCCGCCCCCATGCCCTGATTGGCCTAGGGGTGGGCGAGCGGCAGGGCCGCCATGGGCTGGATCAACCTATTTGGTGGGCCGGATCCGTCCCATGGAGGTTCTTACGCCCACCCCCAGTGTAGATCTTTCGGTTGGTACGTTTTCCAACCACAGCGGGCTAACAGTATAAGGTACCACATGCCTTTTGCGGGGGAGAACCAGAGTTTGTACCAGTGTTGATGGTCAAAATTATTTTCCTTGCTGCTCTCTTCTCCTCTGTCCCATAGGTGACTGCATTTCAGGCAAAGTATCTGGGAGGGGCTTTGGAAGGAAGGGTGCATAAAGCACTGCTCAGGGTTTCTGACCGCATGGTGTTGGTTTGCATGGCAGAGTGTGTTGCTTTGGGAGCCGTGGGAAGAGGTATTCAAGCTGAATCATTACACTCAGTTCAGCAGCATCTTTCTCCAAAAGGTGGCAAATCTAAGCATTTACCCAGCCTCGGAACCACCCATCTGTGTCTGAACTGAAGGTGCAAAATCCCTTGAAAATGGTGTGAGCTTTGCCAGCAGCTGCATGAAAAGCTGTTTCCTCCTGAAACTGTGACTTAGAAATGCAAATATTCCTGCCATCTCTTCCCCACAGGCGTGCTCTTCTTCAAATGAGAGCAGCTGAGCGCTCCAGATCAGAGCTTCTTGAAGAAGCAGGGGCTAATGCCACCCGCGTCATTTTCTCCCATCTTTAATGACCTCCTGTTCAGTCTGAGTGGGTTTCTGTCATGAGCCAAATGGTTTCTAAATTTATGCTGATTTTCATGTGCTGACACACACAGACAGGGAGAGAAGCATGCTGTGAAATTCTGCTGGAAAGCAGGAAGAGAAATCATGTCTCTGCTTAGTCCTCTGTATAAAAAAACCCCTGGCTGCTTGAAAACTTTCCATATGGGATCAAGTACGCCAGGAAACTTGAAAGAGTAAGTCTTAGGAGAGGTTTCTAGAACTCCACATACCTACTCCCGGGAGCGGGAGGCCCAGGAGTGGAGGATTATAACAGGGAAAGGTGTGCTCTGAGTCAAGGCTGAAGTGTTGCCAGAGCTGGATGCAACCCAGCGGTGGAAGCGACTTACAATTTCTTACAGGTATGGTCCTATTGCAACTCAGGTTCCTGCCAGCTCTTTAAATAGCTCCCTGCTGGGCTTTTGCCACAGCTCAGCCAGCTCTTGTGCACCAAGGTGCCCCCGCTTCCTTTCCCCTCTGACACAGCCCCAGCTTGCCCTGACCTGAGCTCATAGTGTCATTGGACCCTTGTTTTCGGTGAGCACTGAAATGTGCAGAGGGTGACTCCAGCCAATTCCTGCATCCACCTGGAAAGTTGCAAATGCATCCTTGTGGTTTCCAATGCGTCTTTGATCGGAGGGACGCGCGAGAGGCATTTTCATACTAAAATGTTGGGGAAATCGCTCAAGAGCTATGCAGATTAGGCAGAGCAAGACCTGCCCTCACAGATCTCTGCCTGGAAGTGGAATAGGGAAACCAGACAATGTGTCATACAGAGATGAATCGACCCTCAGTTCTTTTGCTGAAGTGATACTGTTATGGATTGACTCCCTGCATGGTGCATGGCTGTCTGGCGTTCTTAACACTTTCTCAGTGGACCCATGCTTGCTCTAGCTATAGAATACACTGTCCCGGGTGGTAGGTGGCAAAATCACTCGAAAGTTGTATGCTTTCCTCGTGGCAGCACGAAGAGCTTCTTCCAGCATCAGGGAATCGTGCTACAGCTGCTGGCCCTGTTTAAGTAGTTCCTGTCTCCACAGGGAGCTGGAAGAGGCAGGTACATGCAGAATCTTAAATGTTTTACACATTCATTTAATTTATTGATTCTTCACATTTTACAAGTTGAGCTGGAGGAAGCCAAAGGTCACAGCAGCAGGATTAACATCCTCTGTGAACAAGGCCTAACCCAAAATAAACTGGGGGTAGAGAGCTCTCTTTTCAAAGGGTGTGTCATGTAGATTAGGCTGATCGGCAGAGGGCAATGAAGCCGCGATTTAAATAATCGTGGCTTCATTTAAATTTAAATGGCTGCCGTGCTCTGCCGACCAGCTGATGATCAGCTGTTTGTCGGCAGATCAGGGCAGGGAAGCATTTGTCGACCGGCGCAGGTAAACCTGGTTTCACGAGGCATGCCTGTGTCGGTCAACAAAGGCTTCCTTGTCAACCACGGCGCGTCCAGACTGCCCCGATCTGCCGACAAACAGCTGATCATCAGCTGATCGGCAGAGCGCAGCAGCCATTTAAATTTAAACGAAGCCGCGATTATTTAAATCGCGGCTTCATTGCCCTCTGCCGATCAGCCTAATCTACATGGCTCCGTTGACGGAGCCATGTAGTTTAGACACACCCTAAGGGAATCTGCTTTCAATGGTCTCTGAAGAAGAGCAGAGCAAGAAATTATTAGGAGCTACGGTGAGCAAGTTTCATAATTTAACCTCCCACCCTGAAATCTTCCCAGGCAAAAAGAAATCAGTAAATGACTAAAGAAAAACTGTAAAGGGGAAAACAGATCTCTTTAATTCTCCTTTTAGGTCAGAGTGCTATAGGATTGGCTAATCTTATGTAGAGCCTCAGGCCATGTCTGTACTGGGAAGGTTTAGTGACAAAAGTACTGTCCACATGCAAAAGTCACCAAAAGTGAACACCAGTCAAACCGGGTTTTTCTGCCTCCCATTGTCGATATTTCATGGCCACCTGGCTAGCTCCCCCGTCGATAGATAGAGCAATGCAGCGTGGGTGAGCATCCCACAGAGCCGTGCTGTGGGAGAGTGGAGCTGATCCTGGCACTTCTTAGGATTCCCTTGTAGCTCTGGGAGCTCTCTGTGCTGAGGAATGTCAAAGCAGCCCAGCCGCCTCTCCAGCCCTCCCCCTGCAGCAGCAGCCCACCCGCCACTGTGTTCCTAGCAGGACAGAACAGACGCATTCCAATGATTTGCTCTTCATTTGCTCTGCCACTGGAGCAGCTCACTCAGCGGTCAGTTACTTCCCCGAGCTTTGAAAAGGGAGGGGCACATCCCTGCAGGGCAGCAGAGATCATAGGACCCTGAGCAGAGCCATCAGAGCAAGGCATTGTGGAATCCTGGTGGAACCAACGAAACAAACAGCAGAGCCGACACTATTTGTGGACAACAAAGGGAGGGGAAAAAACAAGTGTTTCACAGAGCTGGAAGTTTTTTGTCACCAAAACTGGGTGTTTTTCCCAACAAAAGTCACACAGCAGTGAAAACACTCTCACTGTTTGGTCGCCTTTTTGGCAACAAAAAGTGGCAGGGCAGACAAGGCCTCTGAAAGCTCACAGCTCCCTTACTCCTCCACACTCTTACTATAACATGCTTTTCATTCAGTGGTTTGTAGCCAGCAGAAGGAGGCTTTGAAACCCACCGTGCCAACGGGCTCTCAGCCCCCGAGAGACAAGCTTTGAAAAGCTAGATGCTGCAGTGGAGCCTGCACAAGCTGCACAGGAGTTAGTTGTGCACCAGTTCAGCTTGCAAACCTCTGATGCAAGCTGTTCCGTGGCGAGCAGTGAGCGTCGCAGCCACCAGGAATACAATTACCGTCTAGAAAAGGGCTTTTTTAAAAAATGGTTATTCTGCCACTTTTTTTACACTCTTCCTTTCTGAGAAGGCGTCAGGCCTGCCGGTGGGGTGAGTCAGACAAGAATACCGTGCGTGTGGGACGATCACCACTCAGTGACTAATGCATGCTTCCCATTCTCGTCTGATGTCAGTGCAAAACGAGCTGGCTAATATCTGTGAAATTAGAAAGATGCTGCCCCTCCCCGCTACAAAGTTTAGTTGTGGAAAATGTATAAGGCACCTTGTGATTTTATTTTTGAGATACAGGTGTCAGAAAGGGAGGAGATCTGTTATATATTAACTTTGTGTCGGGTAAGTGCTGGGGTAATGCTGGGGAGAATAAACACAGAAGCTGCAAGTGGGGAGAGGCCGTCCTGTTTCTAGAATCCCTCCCTTTACTTCCCTGCCTTTTGGAGTGATTTGAAAGGGTGAAAGTAACTTACATTACTTACAGGTACTGTCCTATTACAGCCCAACCCCCCTCTCTTTGGGGGAGGTCTTAGGGCAGGAAGGGAGATTGCAATACAAACAGAACCTGTAAGAAATTTAAGTGTGGGGTGGCTCAGGGCAGGGTGTGTGTGTGTGTGTGGAGGGAGTGCACGAGTTAGGGCAGGGGGCTGGGGACATAGAGGGTGCAGGAGTCAGGATTGGGGTGCATGAGGGGCTCAGGGCAGGGTGTGTGTGTGGAGGGGTGCAGGAGTTAGGGCAGGGGGCTGGGGACATGGAGGGTGCAGGAGTCAGGATTGGGGTCCATGAGGGGCTCAGGGCAGGGGGTGGGGGTTTGGGAGGATGCAGGAGGCAGGGCAAGGGATGGAGGATAGGGTGTATGAAGGGCCCTGGGGCTGGGTTACCTTACCTGGCTGGGCCTGGGCTGCTGCAGCTGTGACTAGACTAGGGCTGAGCCAAGATCACCGTGGCTGGGTTGTGATCAATTACAAATATGGGGCCACCCCCACCCCCTCCTGCTGCAAGGTGGGGCCGGACTGCGGGTGCCTGGCCCAGGACTGGGGCCGGGGACAGGTCACCATGGCCAAATGAGGGCTGGGCTGTGTTGGCTGGACAGTGGTAGGAGCCAGGTTGCCAGGGCCAGAGCCCCGGCTGCAGGGCCTGCCCTCGGAGCAGGGCAGCTGGGGACGGACGGTGGTTGCTATGTGGGGGCTGATTCCACCCCCTCCCTTATCCATGGCAGGAGCGAGTGCTGGGGCTTGCCCCAAGAGTAGAGCGGCTGGGGACAGACCACAGTAGCCAGACGGGGCCAGAACCAGGCCACCATGGCTAGATGGGGATCACTGCTGCCAGCCTCTCCCAGTAGCCCTGTTGGGAGTGCACACACCTCCCTTACAGTGTGCCCCCAGCCACCCCCTTTAATCCTGCCAGCCTCCTGATCGGAACGCCCCAGCCGGCTCTCACCGGAGTGGTGCACCAGGGCGCCCTACCTTACTTTCACCTTTGGATGGAATTGATCTTTTCTGGCCCCTGAGCATTCCCCATCTGAAGGGAAACCAGGCCTGTGCAGCTGGAATCCACTCACCAAAAAGGCAAGAGTAAAATGCATGGCCCTTCTGACTCCTAGGGCTTTCCCCCTTTGAAATGTGGCACAGGCACCCCAAAACTAGCCACAAAGGACTAGCAGCAGAGGGGATAGACAGGACAAGGTTCCTCTTCTTTAATGTGCCCTACTCTTTCAGCAAACTTCCCTGTCCAGAATCCACCTCTCTGACATTAACAACGTACTCGCCAGAGAGCGAGAGAACAGCAGGGTTGTGTGGGAAAGCGGAAAACCTGGGTCGAAAATGAGCCCTGTCTATAATGAGGCACCTCTGAGAGGTGAGGTGCCTTTTAAATCCCTGCTGTGAATGCGTGGACGTTTATCTCCCCTCTGTTTCCAGAACATTTCCATAGCATGAGGACACCTCCGGCTAGCTAGCATGGAAATGGAAGAGGGATAGTGCAAATATCTCCCTGAACAGCTTTCAAAGGTAACCTGCAAGGAGGCAGATAGAGGCAATGATAAAAACGTCCTTTTAGTTGCTTGCTGACTCTATATTTATAAAGTGCAGGCACACGCACTGAAACCCCAACGAGGAAACCCACAGCAGACTTACTTGCCTAACAGTCTCAGCAACCAGCAGTCCTGCGAGAGTCATCTGCAGGCAGAGGACAGATATTGTCTCTACAATCCTGCATCGTTCACGTGAAAGCTGGGAACAGTTATGAGGTCACTTCCATACCTTCTCTTTTTAATAAGTAAGTGAGTTGTATTTATTTTCCACTCACCTAAATTATAAAACATAGGTCTGGGCCTGTGAAAAGATCATTGTGATTCTGAGGACTTGCAGTGGGGTCACTTACTCTGATCAAGTAAAGTGCTTTCTGCCTTCAGGGTGTTTGAAGGTTTGTTATTGTAGATGCTCTGTCTAAAAATCCTTGTTGCAAAATGATTGGTTTTCTAGTGTTTTCAGCATGCTCAGCAAATGGTGGTGTGATGGGGACGTAATTTCAGTGTCTTGTAGTTCTTGCAATTCTCTAGAAAAGGTTACTGTTCATAAAAGCCACTGGCTTCAGCTGTCGTAAGGGGACAGAAACTTAGAAGTGAGGCTCATGTAAGTGCTTAGATAGAGACTGCTTAATGAAACAACTGAAAAAATGGTGCTCTCATTTACATAGTTAAATAGCTTTCTTTAGTCAGTCAGGTTACTCTGTTGACACTGGGGTAATGAAGAGCGGAGTGTGGACCAATGTCTTTATGTCCATGAGTTCCTCCTTTTAGAAGCATTCTTTGGCACAGAAATGTATCCCCATCTGGGAATGCCTTCAGAAACTCATTGCCATGGAGAGGTGGCTGGCTGAACTCTGATAAAGTGTTCTCAAGTATTTAGGATCAAAAGAGAACCTCTTTCTCAACCCTGTACTTGGGAATAATTGATGATATAAATAAAAGGCAGATACAAATTAGGAAATTCACTTTGAAATTCTAGACATAAGCAGTTAACTATAAATGAGGATAAATAGCTGTTTAAGAATCTACTTTAAGTGACTCTTGACATTTTTCATTACTTCAGAGAAGCCACAAAACATCACAGTTATTCTAAAGACTAGTACAAGACCCTGTTTTCAGTGGCTTAGAACTTTGCCAAACTTTAACCATTCAGTTTGAAATTTTCCATGCTGGTGTCTATCTCAGGTTGATGATTTATTTAGTGGCAGTTTCAACAAAACTTGTTCAGTCATTTCTGAGAACAAAATTAGTGACAAGTAGGGTATTTTGTCTCACTTAGAAAAATCTTAAAACCATTTAGCTGATGGAGCAGGGACTTGGAATTTTATCAGCCGAGGTCTAAGATATGCTGCTTGCCCTCCCTGTGAAAATTTTCCCAAATTTGGCCAAGCAACAAGCTTCTGAAAAATCAGTTTGCACATAGTCTTTAGACTCTCGCTGGAGCTTGCCAGCTAAATTCTCTGAAGATTGCATTTGCACTGGTCCCTATGAAGTTAGTCCGTGCTGTCTGTACTGCATGCGAGCACAGAGCAGTGGTTTTCAACCTATTTTCATTTGGGAGAAACATTCGTGAATGGTGGTGCAGACCCCTTTGGAAATCTTAGATGTTGTCTGTGGCCCAACCACAGGTCAAAAGCCTGTAGCAGAGAGCGAATGCTGCCTCTTGGGCGTGCGCCTTGTCGGGGCGGGGCGGCTTGCGTGTTCATATGATCCCAGGAGCTATGCCGGCGGGAGCTTAAGTGCTCCTGGTAGGTTCAACCAAGCCGGAAAGGTCAAGGGGAGAGGAGTCAGACTAAGCATGCACAGGTCCTCCAGGACTGGGGGTTTGGCTCAGGGCTAATAACCCTGACCTAGAAAAAGCTGTTGTTATGGAAACAGCAACAAAAAATTCCTTCTCAGCTGTGTGGGATGGCCTCCCAGAGTCACTGACAGCGACTCGTGTGACTGAAGCTGGCCAGAGACAGACAGAAGTGGAGGACCTTTGTTGCTGCCCTATACGCCAGTGGGTGTGAAGGGCAATGATGAAGATGAGAGAGAAAACGAGGATGCTTCGTTTCTGGGCTGCTCTCTGCAGCGGCTCCTTGCAGGAGCCCAGAGCTCTTTCGTCACCAAGCACCAGAAGTGAGTTCCCGGGAGTCTGTCTCCTGTGATTTCTATGCCCCTGTGGTTGGCCCCCCAGCAGCGTGGGAGAAGGTGAAATCAGCTTGATGCAAATGAAGCAGGGAAGGCGAGGAGCACAGGGGAAGGCAAGGAGCACAGGGGAAGGCAATCTCAATTCAACCCCTTCCTGCATATGTCATTTCTTACAATCTTGTTGTGAAATATACAAATTCCTCCACAAGACTCTTGCCTTAGTGCATGAACTGGAGCATGCTGCAGGGGATGAATCGGGGCATGTTGGAGACGATGATCTCTATAGAATCTCGTTTGTTGCAGAAGTTGTAAGGTGTAGTGAGTGAGGCAGGAGATTGTAGGGAGAGGAAGGTCTCATGGGGAAAACAGTTGAATGCTGCTCTGGAAAACAGGACTCTGTCCCTGTCATCGCCCCTGTATGATGCTGAAGAAATCACTTGAGCCACACTTTCTACCCATGGCCATGAACCTTGTGTTCCTTATTTCAGGGATACTAAACTTGAGACTGTGTGGTCTAATTTGCAGAAGCGCTGGGCACACAAAGCTGCAACTGATGCTGTTTGGAGGGGGGCTTTGAGCACATAAAGCTCTATAAAACTGCCAACTGCACTGGAAAATAAGGTCTGTGGCATCTCGTGGTAGGCACCCGACATGAGTGGACATCGAGAAGTTTGGCTTTAATCGCTCTGTGCTTCAGTTCCATGTTAATAAAATGGGGCTAATCCCAGCACTGCGCCTCACAGGTGGGCGTGAAGATAAATCCACAAATGTTTGTGAAATGCTCAGATACCACAGGGAGGGGGCCACAAAAGAGTCCACGAGGAAATTAATAATGTGCAGGGCTTGGATGCTGTGTGGGGAATACGCCTTGAGATCATGTGCTGAATTATGAGGATACAAAGAAATATTGCAGAGCTACTTCCAGAGTGAGCATTGTCCAGCCTGTGCATTGAATGAGACAGGGGGTCTAGCGAGGAAAACACAATATGCGCATCTGAATACGTAATGACAAGGGGGTGGAATTAACAGTGCCCAGGTAATATTATTTCTGGCTGGCATTTCCTAAATTCTGAGTGATTTGATTTTGCAACCTTAAATATAATGTGTGTAAAAATTTCTCAGAGGGGTTACCATGTTAGTCTGTAACTTAAAACAACGAATAGTCCCGTGGCACCTTAAAGCAGTGTTTCTTCAACTGTGTTCTGTGGCACACCAGTGTGCCACGAGGTAGTCGAAGGTGTGCCATGAACAACAGAGTTCAAAATGGCCACCCTTAAATGGGTAGGCGACCTTTATTTTCTCCTCAATAACTTTCCCCCTGACCCTATTTTATTTTGCTCAGTAACTTTTCCCTGGTCTCTCTCTCTCTCTCTCTCTCTCTCTCTTTTTTTCTCAACAGAAAAATCCTTGGCGTTTCTCATAAAAAAAAATTGTTTGGTGTTCCTCCATTTTAAAAAGTTTAAGAAACAGTGCCTTAGAGACTAACAAAACTAAATAGAATAATAAGCTTTCCTGGGTAAAACCTACTTCATCAGATGAAGAGGGTTTTACCCACAAAAGCAAATGATAATATATATTTGTTGTTAGCCCCGCTGTCTAGCCGTAGCCTTAGAGACTATTTCAGGATACTGGAAGTACCCTGAAGTAGCAATTCCAAGTCTTTAAGCACGCCCGTTATTTTGAAATAACGGGCGTGCTATTCTGGTGTCCCTGTAACCTTCGTGGAACGAGGATTAAGGGACTTGCCGGAATAGTGCTTTATTTCAAAATTTGGTGCTGTGTAGACCCAGCCAAATTTCAAAATAAGCTATTTCGAGGTAAGGGTGCTGTGTAGACGCACCACATGACCACTCATGGTTGTTTAGAATGTGGGTGTATTGTGTTAGACTGCATGCATCTGAAATAGCTTTTATAGGTCATTCACTGCAGGGTAGAATATTGCCCGTTAGGTGTATTCTCTTATGATATTAACATTAGGTTGACAGACACAGGTCCCAGATTCAAATCCACCCCATGGCGGTGACATGAGTTCAGGGTTAGAAGTGACTTTCATCTTGATTAACCATGTAAAGACTTAGTGGGGATTTCTACAAACTACCGAGCTCCTACCCTGCTTAGATCTAACTGGAGCTGACCTACAACAAAGCTCCTGTCTTCAGTGTTCTTTGCTATCCTCTGTCACCTTTTTATGCCTGTGGGTTTTATTATCAGGTGCTAGTCTACCGAAGCAGGGTGCAGCTCTGAGGTCTGAGCATGTCCTGCTTATGTGCTTAAGAGCTTTCTAGCACGTCTATCTCTTGTGTATATATAAACACTGCAGCTAGTTTGCCCATCCAGAGACAGCCATGTTCATCACGCATCAGTTAATATGTGACAACACGAGGGTTTTTAAATTTTTTTCATTAAAACACATTTTCAGAGCCTTGTAGGAGTTTTACTTCCTCTCTCCTCTGAACACCTGTGGGAGGAAGATCAGTTTTATCCACCTTTTATGAGTGGGGAGATGAAGGCACAGAAAGGAAGTGACTTGTTTATATAGCAAGTTATTGGCTGAGCTGTGTTTGAATTTAGGAACTCCTGGTTCCCGGTTCTGTGTTTGTTTCTCCAGCCTTTAAAACCTCTCCGTTTTAAGTAATTCTGTGGCTTTATTCAGAAGAGTGAAGCATTCTGGCATTTCCTAAATTCTGTGGCTGTAGTTTCTCCTTTCCCTTCTGCTATGGTGTGCTGGTCTGTGTGACAACCCCAGAGATGGCCGCATTTCTGGGAGAAATTATTCTAATGTCTATTGTATATTTTAGAGACTTTATCTCTTTAATCAAGAACTCCTCCTAAATGGTAAGAGCTAGGACCACTAAATTCAGTGTACAGCTTCCTCTTATCGTAACTTAAAGCAACGTAAGGTTTTGGTTATGTCAGAAAGAGGGGATGTGCCTGGATTGGGATTGCTTTTTGTAACACCAAACAGAAAAGAAACAGAATCACCAAATCAAGTACATTCCTCAAAAATGACATAGGTGTACGATGAAAGAGGCTGAACCAAGATAAACCAGAAAAATAGGATGACCCTGGTATAGGATTACGTCTCAGTAAACCATACAGAAAAAAGATAAAATGG